GATGCTGGCGGACGCCCTGGCGGGCGAAGGCCCACAAAACATTGGCCACCTCGTACGGCCGTAGCCGCAACCCCGGAGCCAGCGAAACGCCGCCGCCGCCGCCGCCGCCGCGGCCATGGTCTGTCGGCTCCGGCGGCGGCGGCGGCGGTCTCATGGCGCTTGTCAGAGACGCCGCCGCTTCGCCGCCGCCGGCGAAAAGTTCAGGACATGGCCGGCCATGGCATGCTAGAGCCCAGACCACAATGGCCAAGCTTCGTACATTGTACGACGTGGGATCCGTACGTTGTACGGCAGCGACGGTGTATGCGACGGCGTCGATGAGGGCGGCGTCAGCGAAGCCCAATCGGGCTGTGGCGCACATGAGCTGGGATATCTCGTCGGGGCGGAGGGAGGGCAGCAGGCGCCGGGCGGCCGCTGCGAGTGGCTGCGGGGAAAAACACGGAGGGACATACACATACATACATACATACATACATACATACATACATACATACATACATACATACATACATACATACATACATACATACATACATACATACATACATACATACATACATACATACATACATACAATCAATCACATACACAAGGGAGGAAGTTTCGGTGGCATTATCCCCCCCTTGGTGGTAAAACGGGGGGCCAGGGACATACATACATACATACACACATACATATCCAACGCCAGCACAGTTCATCCCCACCCGCCACCGCCAGCACCCCTCTCATCATCCCCACCCGCCCCTCACCCCCCCCCGACTCCCCGTCTTAGTAAGAACTTCTCACCGAACGTAGACGAAGGCCGTCTGCCCTTCAGCTGCTCAGGCCCGCTCCTTTACCTCGAACAATAGCACCTGTACTCTTCTTTAATAACTTAAATAACTTTCTAATGGTTGACCAACGAAGAGCTTTTTCTCGGAGCAAAGCTTGAAGTAAAACCCATTTCTACCCCCGATCGATCCCTCAGCAGAGCCATGTCCTCGAATGTAACAGCTAAACAGAATCCACCAGTGCTAATCTCCTATCTCCATATCCTGACCGCAATTTTTCATCATTGTGTCCTCACTCACACCTTCAGTACGACAGGGTCACGTAGCCCCATCTTGGAGGCCGCCACCATGAGCTGCACTATCTGGCCGCCACTCAAGTCGCCCGCCGTCGCACGCTCCGAGACCTCCCGCGCCAGCGCCGCCAACAGCTGAGCCTCCGTGTCGGCGGCCGCTGCCGACGACATACCGTACAGACGGCCATCGCGGGCGCTGTGGCGGCGGCGGCGGCTGTTGTTGTCATCGTAAGACACCGACGCTGACGACTCGTCGCCATCGCTGTTATCTTCGTCGTCGTACATGTACGACGATGATGATGACGTGGCGGCATCTGAATCCAGTTCCCGATCGAGCAGGCGTTGCTTGCTACCGGCCTGCCACGACACCCCAACGGCCGCTAGCGCCCGCGTCAGAGATAGCACCTCCGCCGCCGTCAGCTGCCGCAGCGTCCCCGGCGCTGCCAGGCCGCCACACAGGTCGTTCCAAGGGATGTACGGATCCGCTGTCGGCGTCAGGTCCGCCGCCGCCGCCACCACGCACGCCAGGCCCGCCGGCGTCAGGTCACGCCGCCGCAGCATCAGCGGCTGTAGCAGATCCGCCAGCGCCTCGGGGGACCGGAAGCGCAAGCGGCCCATGGCCGCCACCACGCGCGCCGCCAGCGCCGCTGCCGCCGGCGACGGCAGCGGCGCCGCCAGGAGCCTATCGCCACGGTCCCGCAACAGCACCACGTCCAGCAGCGCACGTGCCGGATGTGGTTCACAAATAGGGTTGCTGCCACCGCTGCAGGACATGATGGCGACGACGTCGCCGCCGACCGCGAGATCGCTGCTCCTCAAGCCGCCGCCGCCGCCGCCGCCGCCGGCACCGCCGCCGCCGCCGCCGCCGGCACCGTCGCCGCTGCCGCGGCTCACGGATCTGGTCTCGCGGCAATGCCCCAGCAGCCACGTCAGGTGGCTGCACGCGTCGAGCAGCGCCACCTGCGTGTCAAGGCCCATCGTACCGTACGACATCTCAAGCTGACGGAACAGTCCGAGGACCATGTCGCGCCGCCGCCGCCACAATTCCTGAATTCCGCCGGCGATGGCGGCGTCTTCCGCCAGTGGCGGCGGCGGCGGTGGCGGCCCAGCTTCGACAACAGCGGCGGCGGCGGATTGACGCTGCCGTCGGTGCCGCCGCCACGCCTGAACTTCATCGTTTGCCGACGCCGGCGGGTTATAGGAGCGCGGCAGGGCGGAGAGACGCAACAGCGCCTCTATCGCAACGTTGTCCGGCAGTAGCGGCGCCGACAGCAGCAGCGCTGGTGACGGCGGCGACGGCGGCGGCGGCAATGCTCTGTCGAGTGCGGCATCGGCCCGCCCCGGAGACGCCGCCACCGCCGCCGCCACCGCCGCCGCCGTACCAGCCAGATCCGGTCTCGCTGCAGGGATGGATTCTAACAGATCCAACAAATCGTCGGCATCCGTACACGCTCGTACCTGCTCGAGCAGCTCCCGCTCGGCCGCTTTGCTCGTCCAACGAGACGTACGAACCGAGCCCGGCAGTTCATCGGCAGCTTTTGTGTCCGTATGCAAGGTTGATGTTAATGAGAATGCGAATGACGACGCAGACGATGCTGCTGCTGCTGCAGCAGCTACAGCTGCTGATGATGATAATGATGATGATGATGATGATGATGATGATGATGATGATGATGATGATGATGATGATGATGGAGAGAATCCGGGCACATGCGTGGTGGGTACGACTCTGTTGCGTGTCTGCCCTGGGTTCGGCCCCACACTCACGGCGGCCTCCGCCGAACCGCCGTTGGTGCCGACAGCGGCTGCGCTGTGCAGCCGGCGTAGCGAGGAGGCTGCGCTGGGGAGGCGCCATGCAGATTTACTGCCGTTGCGGCTGACCCTGCCATTGCTTGGGTCGCGGTCAAAAGAGACCGCCAGGAAACGTGGTACAAAACGTACGGCGGCTTCCACAGATGTGTTGTAAGCGGATGCTGGTTCATGGGGATGAGTTTTTATATGGGGTGAATCTGCAGGTTTGGCCACGGCGGCTAGGAGTTGGGTGGGGTTGTCGATGCCGACGCCATCACCATGGTGTGACGTGGCGACATCCGGCCCCGACAGGTTCGCGTTGCTTCCGTTGCGGTGCCAGCGCAGTAAAATCAAGCGGATTACTGCGTCTGGTGAGTTGGATGTTTTAGGCAAGGGAGTAAGGTCCGTGCGCAATAGTGCCGAAGCGCTTTGGCAGATGGCTTTCGCAGACATTTCACCGAAATTGTATAAGTCTAAGAAACATTTTTTAGCAAGCTGAAGTTATCATTTTGCCAATCTCTGCCTGGCATTCTCCATATTTTCATTCTGCCGTTTGTTCGTTTGTCGTGCCATACAACCAGCCAACGGTCATCAAGACGGAAACGCAAGCCGAAGAGCAATCAAATGTGCGCAAAAACTCTTTACACTATCTTGAATTCCGCTGAATACTTTTCGGACGGTGAGCTTGGCCGCCGGTTATTGCTGTTTGAACAATCATCACACGCTAGAGACGTGGGGCAGTGGCTCATTACCCCTTCAGACGATACCTTACTAAATTTGTGCAAACCTCATCTGAAATGCAGGCGGGTTTAGGGGCGCCTCTGGGATTAAGCTTGCTGTCGTCCGATTTGCAAAATGCGGCGCCACAAACTTGGAAGCTCGAACCTGGAGGTGCCAATTGTCTGCTTGGGCACGATGACCTGGGGTGAGCAGGTGAGCCGAGCCCCCCCAGCCCCTGCTTCACCCGCGTGCTGGGCCCTCTCCCCCACCCCCTCCGCTGAACGCACCGCCGCAGCACCCACCGATACCACCCACCGTCAAACTCCCTGCTCCTTTCCTATTACTATTGCTGCTGCTATTGCTGCTGCTGCTGCTGTTGCTGCTGCTGCTGTTGCTGCTGCTGCTGTTGCTGCTGCTGCTATTGCTGCTGCTGCTATTTCTGCTGCTACTATTGCTGCTGCTGCTGTTGCTGCTGCTGCTGTTGCTGCTGCTGCAATTTCCTAGTTCCCAACACTCTGTTGCACGTCCTCGTTTTGTCCTTCTACTCGCTGTGTCCTCCGCTTGTTTCAGAACACCGAAGAGGAGGCGTTCGAGCAGCTGGACTTCGCCCTGGCTAATGGAGTCAATTTCATCGATACCGCCGAGCTGTAAGATTCTTGCAAACTGCCTGTCTGTCGGTCTGTCGGTCTGTCTGTATACCCCCCCAGTCGGCCCTTCTCTTTTTCCCTCCCGCTTCCCCGCTGCCTCTCCCTCCCGCTCGCTTCCCCTCCTCCCCCTTCTGTTCTCCCCACCCCTTCCTTCCCACGCTGGTTTACCCCGCCACAGCCGCATTACTGTAGAGTGTGTGTATGTATGTGTTTGTGTGTGTTTGTGTGTGTTTGTGTGATGTGCGCCCGGGGGGGGGAGGAGCAGCTCATATGTTCATGTGTTTGTACCGAGATACCGCTTGCTAGCGCTGCTACTGCTACTGCTACTGCTGCCAGTGCTGCTTGGTATCCTGCTACTGCAATTCCAGCGCTACTGCCAATCTTACTGCCAGCACTATTGCTGCAGCTACAGCTGCTGCTACTGCAGCTATTGCTGCTGCTGATGATGATGATGATTGTGTTGCTGCAAACTTGTGACCGGGTCTGGGGGAACCAAGCCGTACACACACACACACACGCTGCGGCAGGTGCCCCTGGCCAGCGTCAGGCCCGGCTCGATATGTAATAACACATACACATACGCTTGCTGCCGCAGATATCCGGTACCGCCACGCTCCGAGACTGTTGGCCGTACGGAGACGTACATTGGCAACTGGCTCAAGTCCCGAGGGTGCCGTGACAAGGTAGCTCCGACCACATGTGCCTATGTGTGTAATGTGTATGTTTATCTGTCCACCCACCCATCCACCCACCCGTTCGTCCGCCAGTGCATTATCGATACTCCTTAGCCAACATCAGCCACGTCAGCACCTAATGACGGGGCCCGTACGGACCCTAAGTCACTTAGACTGATGTGTCGGTATGTCTGTATGTCTGTACGTCTGTATGTCTATGTGTGTTCTCATACAGCACTGTTTGGAGTATTGTGCCGCGTGCTCTTTCCTACGTCTGCTCGGAGCGCGACGAAACGGCCCCCAGCCTTTAGCTGCTGCTGCTACTGCTACTGCTGCTACTGTTGCTACTGCTGCTGCTGCTGCTACTGTTGCTGCTGCTACTGCTGCTGCTACTGTTGCTGCTGCTACTGCTGCTGCTACTGTTGCTACTGCTGCTGCTGCTACTGCTGCTGCTACTGCTGCTGTTGCTGCTACTGCTGCTGCTACTGTTGCTGCTGCTGCTACTGTTGCTGCTACTGTTGCTACTGCTGCTGCTGCTGCTACTGCTGCTGCTACTGTTGTTACTGCTGCGGGAAGGTAGCCGCGTTGTGTGACCAGTAGTTGCAGCCACTGCAACAGCCGCCATCGCTGCTGGTGCGCTGCTGGTGCTACTGCTGATGTCGTTAATGTGCTGCCGTACAGGTCATCATCGCAACCAAAGTGGCGGCGCCGCTTCCTGGAGTGGATCGGAGCTGGGTGGTTGCCAACAGGTACGGAAAAAACACCAACCAACTGTCAACCACTCCATCGTGATGCGAGCGGCGCTGGAGGGGGAGGAAGTGGCGGAGAGGGGAAGAGGAGGGGAAGGAGGGGTTTAAACACACACACATACACACGTGTCACGAGGGTGGGGCTGGCGGCGGACTGGGTGAGGTGCGGAGGCGATGGGTGCGATGGGTTGCAACCCCCCCTGGGTTCTCACCCCCCCTGTAGTGGTCTCCCCCCCCACCCCAACACGCATTTGTGTACATACATATATTCATTCATACATACATACTGCGGAGTGGCTGCGTAGAGTGTTGGCAGTCTGAGTCGGGGTCGGGAGCACACAAGACTAACCGACTTGTGCTGTGTGCTCCCGACCCTTGCGCTGTGTTTCGGCTTCGGCCCCGGGCTCTCGCGGCCCACAGTGTAATCTAAGTCATACATACATACATACATGCATACATACATACATACATACATACATACATACATACATACATACATACATACATACATACGGGTACGCTGCAGGACCGTGCCCCCTGGCCCCGCTCGTCAACCCGAGTTGGACGAGGCGTCCATCCGTACGGCACTTGAAGGCTCCCTCCGGCGGCTTCAAACCGACTACATCGACCTTTACCAGATCCACTGGTATGTCCGTATGCATGTATGTCCCCCTCCCCCTTCACTCGTTCGTGGTTCGTCTTTCCCCCCCTTCTCTCCCCTTTCCTTGCCTGACGCCCTCCCTCGTATTCCCGAGGCCCCTCTCATCCACTCAGCGGAACGGCTCTAACCATCC